AGCTACCTGCCCGCCTGCCTTCCTTGCCAGAGCTAGAAACCCCAGCCAGGAAGCCAGGCAGTCCTGGGGCCGCCATCTGGCCCCCAACTCTGCTGCCTAATGTTTGTAGCAGACCCAGCAGCTAATTGCATGGGGAGGCAGCAGCCTTTCCATCTTTAGCACCTAATTCGCTATTGTTTCTTTGGGAGCCCGATCCTGATCCTGTGACTGTGGAGGGAGGGCTTTCCCTGTTTATGGGTTTGGGTTTTTTTTTTTTTTCAAGCCCTGGGCATGCCGGCCTGGTCTTGTTAGGTTCCAGCTGGGCAGGCAGCCAGGAGGGCATCCCCAGACCTCCTGGCCGCACCTCCCCCTACCTGCACTGCTCACCTGGCTGGCAGCAGACGAACCCCCTGCACCCCCCCACACACACACTTTAGCCTTTCCCATGAGTCTACAGACGCTTCATTTCTCTTGCCCCAAGTTTTGGAGTTTTATTTCCCACTCTCGCTCTGGCAGAGAGGACTTGGAAAGAAGCAATAAGCTACCCAAGGAATCCTGAGTTAATTTGCTTCTACCTGCCGTGGTTTCCCCATCCACAAAATGGACTCGCAAAGAGTTACTCTGCCAGGTTCTTATGACAGCAGAGCAGAGCTTGTTGTATGTGTCCTCAGGAGTCATTCTTAGAAATGGGGTGCACCCACATCACCATGATGGGAATGCGGTCCTGAACAGTGGTGGGTGGGTAGGGTAGCCATGAAGGGAGAAGACTATGGACCTCATCAAGACCCACGGTGGAGAAGCACCATGTCCCCAAGCCCACTTCCATCCCAGATTCTGAGCCACAGCCCCATTGTTGCTTGCTTGCCTCTCAAAATGCTAGGGTGACAATCAGTCACCAGCAATGGGCATCCCACACACACCGGGAATCCTGACCAACCTGACATCATTACAAGGGTTGGGGTTGGAGAAAAGGGACTAAGTAACCTTGCAGCACACCCCCCCCCCCCGCACCCTGCCTTGGTTTCTCTGAATTAGAGAAGCAGATTTGGGAAGGACGCTAAGCCACGGTGGCTGGGAAGAGCGTATACAGGCACCAGTTCAAGTCCCGGCTGCTCTACTTTCAATCCAGCTCCCTGCTGCTGCACCTGGGAAGGCAACAGTGGAGGGCACCTGAGCCCTGAACTCCCCACCTCTGACCATGTGCCACACATCATGTTGGTGAGCACTGTGATAATTGTGAATTGGTGCCTAATAGGTTCTGTTAATTGCACTGGGTGATCAGGGGATGAAGGAGAAGGAGTGAGACAGCTCCCACCAGGGGCCACTGGGGCTGTCACCACACAGAAACAACCCTGACACTCTGCTCCCTCTTGCACACATTGCCTGGAACTGCCAAGGTCAACCAGTGGCATGGGGGAACTATATGGTAGTACAGCAGAGATGTGGCACCAAGAGTGGAACAGCCAATAAAGGCCAAACCAGGTGCTATACGTCCCAAATCTGGTTTCTTCAGTGCCAAGACATGCTGGGAAGCGCCCTGGGGTGGCAGAGGCTTTCACTGGGCACTGGGGGCATGGCTCGTGGTGCCTCCCCCTTGTGATGGGAGAGAATCGGCACAAAGACAGACTTGGGATCAGTGAAGACTGAACCCGTGGGACAGACAGGCCTAGGTTCCATCTGCCAGCTGGGTGACTTCAGGTGATGCCGCTTCTCCGAGCCTGCTCGTACAGTGATGCTAAACGTGCAGCGTGAGGCCCTGCTTGGTGTACAGTGGATGCCCAGAAGTGGCGACTTTGATTGCCCGGGTTCCCCAACCAAGTGTCCCCATGATGACATCATTGTGTGGCTGGTACAATCATTAAGTTGTTGCTCCTGACTTGGGAAGCATCCAGAAAGCTCTGTCCACAGCACTCAGGAGCAAGGCAGATCCATGAACTCCCGTGGCAGGAACTCTAAGGACACAGGACCTGGCCCCACTGCCCCAAGGCTGAAACACGGCAGGGTCTATGGTGCAGAGGGAACAGGCAGCTGTGAGCCTGCAAGCAGGCTAGGGGGGAGCGTGTGCCTGAGAGCTTGGGCGCAGTGTCTGGCCATCCACCTGGCCCTCTCCTTCAGCGGATGAGGAACATCTCTGTTGTGCCCATCTCCCTCCAGATGAAAGCTCAAGCCCCTGACCCTTCCGTCCGCTTCAGCCCCATCTTATTCCAGGACAAGCCTCCAGGCTTCTATACCCCCTGTTCCCTCTACCCTTCCCTTAATGTTTTCTGTGAGGGTCTGCTCAAGCCCACCCTAAACCCTGTCTCTTTGCTGCACACTCTAACATAGCAGCCCCCCACAGTTCACAGCTGGCCTTCCCTGCAGTCCGGGAAGGTGGTGCTTTACTTAGTCCATCGTTCCAACCCCACCCACTCCCCGGGGACCAGTAGGAGGCTTAGGGTTAACACACTACCTGTTTGTTCCTCAAGCGAATGGGCTGCTGATGGGATTCTTGCTCCACGATTTGTTAGCTTCTGTGGCTTTGGGAAAGTTGGTTCAGCTTTCTGAACACCCGCCCCACCACCACCACCTCCCACTGTGCAAAACAGAACACACAGAAAGATGGCCTCAATTAAATTAAAGCATAAAGTGGGGCCTGGCGTGGTTAGCCTAGTGGCTAAAGTCCTTGCCTTGAACGCGCTAGGATCCCCTATGGGTGCCGGTTCCAGTCCTGGAAGCCCTGCTTCCCATTCAGCTCCCTGCTTGTGGCCTGGGGAAGCAGTCAAGGACAGACCAAGGCCTTGGGACCCTGCACCTGCATGGAAGACCTGGAAGAGGCTCTAGGCTCCTGGCTTCAGATTGGCTCAGCTCCGGCCATTGCAGTAATTTGGGGAGTGAATCAATGGATGAAAGATTTTCCTCTCTGTCTCCTCTCCTCTCTGTATATGTGACTTTGCAATAAAAAAATTTTTTTAAAACAATAAACCTTTTTAAAAAAAAAAAAAAAAGGATAGAGTATAAGCTGACACCTAAGAGGTGTCAACAAGTGACAATCAGGCTTACTAGAATTCACTCTCGCCTCCTGGTTTCAGGCTGTTTCCCACTCACTGTGAGGCCAGAGCTAGTTGTGAGAGCAGGAGAACTCAGGCCCCACACAGGGCTGTAGGTGTCTGGCCACCTGGTGTCTGCAGCTCTTAGGAGGGGGCTCTGACACACAGAGGACACTCATGCTGTGGCAGCCACCCCAACCCTGCAGAGTCGGGACTTTAGATCTATGCCCTAACATGTTCTCACATTGTCATCTTGGAGCTCTTGGTCTGCTCAGCTACAAAATGGGAACAGTGATGGTACCATGGTGATGGTAGCATCAGGATCCAGCCAAGGTACCTCTGCGCCAGCAAGGTGTCGCCCTCCAGAAACACGCAGGTGTTCTGAGGAAGAGACTCAGAGTGGACACAAGCAGCAGCCAGGGAAACAGCAAAGCCAGTTTCCTTCCATTGACCCAACAGCTGGCACCCACGGAGCCCAAAGTGCAAGGTAGGGGCGTCTTGAATCTTCACTCTGCTTCCAGTCCAAATGTTCACCCTTCGCCCTAGACCAAGCCCTGGGCAAAAAGACCTTGAAGAACGGATCCTCCGATCTGAATAAAGGCAGATGCTCTACTCCCCAGTGGGAGCAACTGAGGACAGAAACACCAAACCCTATACAGCCCTGGACCCACCCACTACCCCCCTTTGACCAGTCAGCTTGTGCCTGGCCAAGCACAACATAGAGGACTAATCAATAAACTGCAGGTTCCGTAAGTTGGTGGTGAGGGGACACTTTGTCTGCTGTGTTGCATGAATTGCAGCATTCAGATGAGGGCTTAGCTCATGTGTTGGATGGGTAAACTCATCGGTGAGGGGCTGTGTCATAGCACAGCTGGCTGGTCCTCTGCCTGCGGCACCAGCATCCCACATGGATAATGGTTTGAGCTCTGGCTCCATTTCCGATCCTGCTGTCTGATGCTGCACCTGGGAAAGTAGCAGAGGATGGCTCAGGAGCTTGGGGCACATGGAAGACAGGGAAGAAGCTCAGGCCCCAGCTTTGGCCAGGCTCAACCCTATCGCAGCTATTTGGAGAGTGAACCAGCGGATGGAAAATTCTCTCTCTCCTCCTTTCTACAGATCTACTTTTCAAACAAATTTCTTTAAATAAATATATGTAATTTCCTTAAATATATATATCTTGAAAATCAGTGAGCCAATGGAAGAGACCATCAATGGATTCCCAGAAGTGAAGTCCCCCAGGTACCAAGGAAATCTCATGAATGAATAATTGAGTCAAACACAGAATCGGTGACTTTCATCATCTGTCTGAAAACAAAGGTTTTCCCCACCCACCCTCAAGGCTGTTGCCTTCAATGGTGTCTGACGTACAGGGGGGGAGAGGGGTCTGCTGAGCAATCCACAAAAGACCCCACCACAGGGCAAGGACAATAGAGTAACCGAAAGGAAGCACAGGCCACCCTGCCCAAGCCTTGTCCCTGCAATCCGCACCATTCCACACACCCCAGCCACCACGCACTTCCTGTTTGTTTTTTTTAAATAATTGGTCAGTTGTTTTTAATTGTTGAGGCAGTAATACTTGGTTCATGAAACTGCAATATACAGAGAGGTGAAATAAATAGCTTATATATATATAATATATATAATATAGCTGGTTTTAAAATACCCCCTTATCATTGGCGTACTAGGTCACGTGAGTCACGAAAGTCATAGCAGCATCCTCCTGAACTTGAGCAAGGCAGGGTCGCCGTGATTGGACGAGGCCGTCTGTCGTCGGAAGGTCGAGGCGCGGAGAACTCCCGAGGGCACGCCTTCCCTGCGCGGTGTCTCGAGATAGCTTGCAGTAGATAATAAATAAACAACTGCAAACCAGAGAGCGATTTTTGTTGGAGTCTGGGGTGGGGTGGGATGGGCTGGGGACAAGTTGTTGGGGGGAGGGAGTGCCACTTTCTCTTTCTTTGTTTTCTGGTTGTTTTTTTTTTTTTTTTTCTTTTATTTCTTTCGGAACCTTTGGGAAAAAGGACTTTGGTTTCTCAGAGTGTCGGTTTTCCTATTCAAGCCCTCCTCAAGGGGACAAGTTTCGAGTCTTCCTCGCAAGCACCGATGGGTCAATCACAGTCCCCTTGGCATGAGTCTTTTGTCATGGGGGGGAGGGGGACGTTCAAGTCAATGATAAAATCCGTAGCGTCCCTCTCCCTGAAAGTTTTGGTTCAGTCTTTGTCTTCTTTTAAACACAATGTACAAAAATAAAGCTTCTTCCTTATTTTTTTTTTCATGTAAAAATATTCCTCTGATGCAGTTCTCTGGGGTTGTGAGCATGGGCCGGCGGCGCCTAGCCAGGGTGAGTGGGGCGGATCCGCCGTGACCGCTTGGTCACTGTGGTGTACTTGAAGGGTTTCTGCGGCTCAGCCTGCCCCTTGGGGTAGCGCTTCATGAAGTGCACGTCCTGCTGGTTTTCCCGGGTCTTGGGGCCCTTCCGGGGGCGCCCCTTCTTGGTGAAGCCCACATACCAGCCCGAGTACTTGGCCGACATGAGGGCTGTGTAGTTGTTCTCCAGGACCTTCTCGATGAACACACACTCCTTGCTTGTGCCATCGGGCTGCAGGGAGAGCAGAAGAGGGGAAGAGCGTTAATGTTGGAACTGCTCCATGGGACCTGCTAAGGCCCTTCAGGATGACTGCGACAGGTGTAGCGGGCTGGGGTGGGGTGGGGACGTGGGGGGTTGGGGACAGAAAACTACCAAGAGCAAACTTCAGGGGTAAGAGGGATTCGGGCTACATCCACCCAGCAGGATCCCAGTGCAGGGGCATCAGATGTCATCTGGGAAATGGAGAAGGATGAACCCAACCAGATATCCAGGGTGACCAGCTACCCAAATGGGGATTCCCACTGCAGTGACTTAGCAGTCTTTCCACATGGGAATTTTACGAGGTAATGTTCAAGTGGGCCTAGGAGAAGGTTCCCAGAGATCTTTGCATAAGTGATTCTCCCAAAACACTCGCAGATTTAAACTTCAGTATGCAAGCTTAAAGCAGACACAGCCATTTGATCCCTAGAGGGAAAATCCAGCACAGAGAGAGAAAAGCTAAGGAAGAGTGAGAGAAACCAACTTCTGGACCCAGCCAACATCTGAAGGTTAAGTTAGCTCCCTATTACGTGGACCAATACAGTCTCGTTTGCTTTCCACCAGCGGACATGGTGTTCCATCAGCTGCAATAGGAATGAGTCCTGCCAGATTTGCACAAAGGCTGACATGAAGTCAGCTACTTGACTGCAGCTCCACTCCACATGACCCGTCCAGTATCAATTACAGCTAATGTGGGATAGGATCATTTTTAACACTTGCTGTGAAGTATGGTGGGGTTGGGACGGTGGTGGTAGTGGAGGGCTTCCAAAAAATAAAAAAGATGTTGTCTAATCAGACTGCAAGATCTGGACCCCCAGGTTCTGGGGTCTTGGGATTCCCAGCAGATGTATTCCAAGCAGGGTACCGTTGAAGACAGGTACTCTGGCCAAGGAGTACCAGAGGCTAAATGTGTGTCCTCAACCTGGTTCATTCCAGTGTCAAGCCCTCAGGCTCCTCACGATTAAACAGGAACAAGAAGGCAGGTCCTTCAGCGCCCCGGAGATGAGCCCAGCACCTGGCAAGACATGGCTGGGCTACTACAGAAGAACAGGTGGCTGTGACCAGGCTGGGCCGACATGGACCAAGGGCAGTGGGAAGTCAGAGCTTTGGGTGTCTTCCCTGGGCTTCAGTCCCATCGCTCGATGGGAGCGAGTGGGAAACACACAAAGTTGGAAGGCCTGAATTAGCAACACTTGAGTTTCCAACTGACATGTCCAAATTTAGGCCGGGCCCACTCCTCGTTCCGGATGGAAGCCCAGCCAAGTTGGAAGCCCAGCAGTCTGGCTGCATGCGGAGACTGAGGTGCGAGTTCCAGCCTTTTGTTTGAAGTGGAAAACGGGCTGGAGCTTCCAGGAACGTTCACCTTTAAGCAGAGGGCAAGCCCAGGCCCTTGAAGTCAAAGTGCTGAACTCGGCAGAAAGGAAACTCTCTGAAGGACAGACCTGCCCAGGAGACTGCGGAAGAACGCGCAGGGGGGCAGGCACGGGAGGCACGCTTGGCACTCAGGACAGTCTGCGTAGGGACAGTGGGAGGAGCTACTGTGAGTGAAGCTGCGGCAAATGTGCAAGGCAGGAAGAGAGGAGCCGAGCTCTGGGTCCCCCACGGCAAATGCTGGAAGGTTCCTGCCCAAACTGAGTCCAGGTAATTGACCTATTCTCAACAGAACAGTTGGGAAAAATTCAACCAGATTACTTCTTCAACCTAGGATTCCTGCCACTGCCTGAAGAACTGCTTTCCCTTCTCAGGGCTTAGCTCAGACACTGCCTCTTCTGAGAAGGATTCCCATATTGAAATGCACGTTGGAGACCTGACAGCTGCACTTCCAATCCAATGCATCCTGGACAGCAGAGAATGGCTCAAGTGCCTGAGCCACTGACACATGGAGGAGACCCAGACGGAGTTTGGGTATAGTGTACCTTTGGCTAATGCAGGCACTCGGAGAGTAAACCAGTAGATGGAAAATCAACATCTCTCTCTCTCTCTCTCTCTCTCTCTCTCTCGCGCGCGCGCGCGCGCGCACGCGTGCAAGCACGCTTTCTTGTAGATGAAAAGAAATACATGAATATTATTTTCAAAAGAATGTTTAGGAAAAAAATGCCTTCATTCAAGTACCAGCTTTATGGATCTCTGGGACACCATCTCCTCTTCCCACTTCCCAGCACAGCAATTTTGCACATGCCACTCATGAGCCCTGAAGCTTCCCCAAATCAGGCTAGCCTCCTAGCTGCACCCATCGCCTGAGCACAGGCCCCCAGCCAAGACAGGCTCGCTCACAGCATTTGTGGTCAGAAGGCCTGCTTCACCAGGATGGAAGCAGAGGGGTGATGCAGCACAGCAGACCAAGCAACAGACCTGTGACCACGACCCAGTGCTGGGCGCGAGCTATGGAAGACAGAGCGATCAGGGGCAGTCACGGAGCTGATGGCCGGAGAGCTCCCCCTGGCCCACTGAGGCTTCCTACACACTCATGCATTCTCATTCAGCCTGTACACATTTGCACTTCTTTCTTTGTCTTCCTTCCTTCCTTCCTTCCTTCCTTCCTTCCTTCCTTCCTTCCTTCCTTCCTCTCTTTCTCTCTCTCTCTTTCTTTCTTTCTCTCTCTCTCTCTCTCCCTTCGTTCCTTCCTTCCTTCCTTCCTTCCTCTCTTTCTTTCTCTCTCTCTCTTTCTTTCTTTCTTTCTTTCTCTCTCTCTCTCTTTCTTTCTCTTTCTTTCTTCCTTCCTTCCTTTCTTTCTTCCTTCCTTCTTTCTTTCTTTCTTTCTTTCTGTCTTTCTTTCTTTCTTTCTTTCTTTCTTTCTCATTGTCACAGTCAGAGATTTTTCTCTCCCCAAATGCTTGCAAATGCCAGAGGTGGGTCCAGATGAAGCCAGGAGTCTAGACCTCAAGCTGGATCTCCTACAGGGTGGCAGGAACCCAGCGACTTGAGCCATTGTTGCTGCCTTCTAAAGTCTTTGCTAGCACAGTAGGAAGCTGCAGGTGGCAATCTGCGCAGGGCATCCAATCCAGATACTCCACACGGGATGCGGGTATCCCAACTGCTAGGCTAAGCACCTTCCCCTATGAGTGTTTCAAACATCTCTTGCAGGTAACTGGAAGGGTCCTGCAGGGGGTAAGGAGCACAGGCCAGGGTCAAGGTGAGGTACAGCCTGTACTAATAATGCAGCTGCTTTCACACTCAGCAGCCTACTATCATCCAGGCTCCACAGCTGGTGTGCACTAAGCTCCTGTGCTCAGAGTGATGGGACTTGCAGCCACAGCCTTCTCAACTGAACCAAGAGTTCCCAGAGTCAAGCCCTGGCCACCACCCAAGTTCCAGCCATTGCAGGCATGTGGGAAAATGAACCAGCAGATGGAAGCTCTCTGTCTCAGCTTCTGTGTCTGTCTCTGTTTCTCCACTTTAAAAAAGAAATGGCTCTGTGCTGTGCAGTTATCCCATTAATGCAACTTTAAAAAAAAATCTGTGCTTGGGCCCCCCAATTCTGTATTCAGAGAGTAAACAGTCTGTCCCAGGACCCAGGCTTTAATCCTCTTTCCGGTATTCCTACCTCCAGCCTCTTTCTTCCCTTTCCTTCTATTGGCTCTGCAGTCTGCATCTTGGTATCACCGGCGACTGGGTCCAGCCTTCCCTGAAACAATGACTTCCTGGACCTTCTTGAACTATGAAAGCAAAAACCTCCCCTTCTGCTTCAGGCAATCTGAGATGCGTCTTAGTCATTCATGTGCTCGTGACCTCAACTCCAAAGGGGTACTTTTTTGTGTTGCTCTAACAAAGCCCTGGTGGCAGTCCCACAGGTAGGGACAGGTGGGAAAATTCCATCTGGGTAGAACCTTCCAGAGATGGGCGACAGTGTCCAGCACACAATGCTAGATACTCAGGCACTACTGATGGAAGCCCAGAAAGTACCACTCCCTCCCTACATGAGAGAAGAGCTCCTAGAAAGGTGGCAAGAAGAAGGATGGGGCACCTGAGCATGCAGGGTCAGATGCGATGAAGCAGAGGAAACAAGTGCATCTGGAAAAGCTCTGCCAAGGGCACCATGCACCTGTCACAGACACACGGAGGTGGCACCTCAAGTAGAGACAGCTCAAGTTCCTGCTGTGCCACTGCAAGGGACCTGGAGCCAGGGCTAAAGGCCAGGGGTTCCCACAGGTGAAGGAGCAACCTCACAGTCCAGGTCCCATTTGACAGATGAGGACACTGAGGCTCCGTGAGGTCAGGACTTAGTGACCCAGTGGGCATAATTTGGGCTGGAGGCTGAGCATCAATCCTCAGAAAACAGGAACCACATTTTTGCTTCTTTGGTGTTTCTCATGCCCTTGGGCCATAACACAGAGCTCAGATGGACATGTGTGACAAGAACTGGCCCTTGAGGTACTCCCAGTCTAGTGAAGGGGAAAGGGGTGTGGCACAGTCCTTAAGACAGAGGACAGGGAGACAGTCAGCCTAGCAGGTGGGTGCCAGAGGGCAGACAGCAGGGCTGTAGTTGCCCAAGGGGCAAGCGAAGGCTAGAGGCTACTCAGGATCCAGCCACACAGAGAGACAGAACACTGGCCATAGAGAAGGCAAGCGGGAGAAGCTCCCAAGTTCTACCCTGGGAATGTGGATAGCTGGCCAGGCCCCTGAGTGTCCCATCAAGGGATGGGATCCACCCATGGGTGTTCAAGCTGGGCTGAGGGTGGAAGGCAAGTAGAAACCCTTCTCTGTGGTTTGGAGCATGGAGAATGGAAGGCCTGGTGATAGAGCCCAAGGCTGGGACCCAGCACAGGAGCCAGGATTGCCAGAAGGTGTGAGAGCGGGACAGAGGCAGGTGTGAGGGAAGGAAGGGACCCAGAGCTGCCAGTCGGGAGGGGAATCCTGGGACCAGACCTGACTGTGGAGGAACGCAGCCCAGCAGCCTATGGCTTCCAGGGTCAGGAACCAGACAGGGGCGTGGGCCCCAAGACAGGTGGCTGTGGGGGTGCCCTCAGCATGTAGGGGTCAGCCCAGAAGAAAGGGGCCTGCAGGGATGGAGTGGGAAGGTGGAAGGGGCTAGAGGCCAGGCATAGGGGGTCGGCGGTCGTGGGAGAGCCAGGAACAGCAAGGGGCCCGGGCCAGCCTCCCCTCACCACCGCCCGCTTGCGCCAGCTGAACCGTCCCCAAAACTCATGCCGAGGGGCGGGAAACCGGAGCCGACTCCCGTGGAAGCAGTGACTCAGCGTCCCGGCCAGCCGGCGGGCGGCGGCGGCGAGCCCGGGTTGGGGCTGCTCCTGTGACCCGGGAGGGCGAACCCTCCTGGGGTCAGGATGCCGGGAACCGCGCCGCGGGGCGGGCGCGTGGGCACCGGGCGCGGGCGCCGAGCCGGAGGGAAGCGCGCCCCAAACCCCAGGCAGGTCGGGTCTGGGAGGCAGCCCGGGCGGGCAGGAGAACAAAGCGCCTGACGCGGGACCGGGCCGGGCCGGCAGCCGCAGGAAGCGGCCGTCCAGGCCTGGGGGGGCCCCGGGCGCCCCGCCCGGCCCGGGCCCCGGCCCCGACCCCGCGCCGGCCGCCGGCCCCGCCACGGCCCAGAGTGAATCACTAATTGAAACCACTCCTGGGCCCCGGACCGCGCTCTCAGGATCGCTATTATTTTGCTCTTTGAGCCACTTTGCTTGCTATGGGCAGTGCCGCTGGAACCTTTTCCTGCCAACCTGAGTTCTGAATCTCGCCTTAGCACTCGTGTGAGACCTGGGCCAGGGTGTGGCCAAGCCTCAGCTTTCCCATCTGCGAAAGGGGCTGGTAGTAGGAGGGTGGCCTTTTTTAACTTTTTTTTTTTCTTTGCTCAATGACTGGCAAAAAAAATAGGTGCTCAAAATTATCGGATGATTGTTCCCATTTACTGCTAGCAATTTATCCCTGCTTTTGGGGTGTCCTCTAAAACATTAAGGTGACAGCATCTTAGCTGTTCCACACTGCCCAGCCACCTGGGCATGAGTTGATAGATTTGAGATTTGGTTAAAAGCAAAATCATGGTTTTGGCAAGGCTGTGGCCACCTGTCCCCCCCATCCCCCAGATGTTACCCCAAACAACTGGCATTCCTACCAGTCAGAACGGGCCACAGGGGAGTGAGGAGAGTAGAAGGGGGCAGAGAGCATGACCCCAACTATAATATGACAGAGCTATAACCACTACCACCTTGCCCTTGACATCAACCCACAGGAGCCAAAGGCATGACCTTCAAGAAGAGAGGCTCACAGCAGAGTGGCAGCCCCAGAGGCCCTAACGCCACCCACCCACCCACGCCACTCCCACATACACCACCCAACACTGGGCAGTCAGATCCCTTGCCTGTGCCAGAATTCCATGGTCTTCCTGAAATGCCAGAACCGTTAGGTCAGGTGCTGACAAGGCAGAGGGCTCTGGACACTTGCCCTGCTCACTGTCCCCCCACAGTACTCCCTTGTTCGCAGATGCCAAGGGGCTGCTCCCTAGGGCTCAGCTGCTCATGAGCAGGACAGAGCTCCACACCCTCAGGAAGCTCAGGGCCCTCTGTGCTCAAGGGAATGGTGGCCCTAGCACCCCGCTGTCTGGTGGACTGCAACTACACCTACAGAGAAGGGATGAGTGGGGTGGGGTGAAGGCAAGAGATGGCAATGGGGCTCCCTGGCACTCACACTGCCTCTCCCTGCAGCTCTGTGTGTGTGTGTGTGTGTGTGTGTGTGTGTGTGTGTCTCACTCACTGACTCACTCACTCTTTTCCCTTTGGGGTTAAAAGGGCCCTGGTCACATTGTCCCAGGACCCCAGGGCTGCAGGGAGGGACCCCAAGCTTGCCAGACACTGCGACCCATCACTCACCTTCCCCACGAGCTTGCCTTTGCGGTTCATGCACAGGTAGAATTCCGTCTCCTTGCCCTTGATCCGGACTTGACTACCGAAGGTATCTGTCTCTACTAGGAGCTGGGCTTCGAAAGGCAGAGGAAAAACAACATACGTTTTTTAACCAGGGGCAATGAACAATGGCTTGGTCTATAGGCTCAATGGTGTGGTCCCTCACCCCAGCCCAGGAGGATGAGGAGATGGGGGGCAGTTTCCTTGGAGGGAGCACTGGGTCCTGGCAGCAGTGGAGATGGAGGTTCCCAGATGGCTCCCACAGGAGGAGAGTCTGCCCCTTATACCCTTTGCTGCATCAGCATCAAGGTACACAGCTGCTTAGCCCCATTTCCCAAAGCAAGACAGCCAAGACCCCCAGAGGAGGGAGAGGCCTGAAACCAAGGGACAGACAGGGACACAGGCATGCAGGCACACACACATGTATACACATGTGCGTGTACCTACATACATGTGTATGCATGTTGCGTGTGAGTGTGAGCATGTACACACCTGTACATACACACAGGCACACATACCCTGTGTTGAGGGACAACAGCTATCTCCTCCAAAAGTTCCCAGGCCACTTGCCTCAGGGCAGACACCTGACCCCCTGCTCATGCCCCCTTGCCGCCTCCATCCCAGCCACTGCAAGCTGGATTCCCCCACATTTCTCAGTCAAAGTTATCAACAAAGTTCAAGGCTGGGGAGCCCAGAAGCTCCATGCAAGACAGTTTTCCCTGGTCCAGGCCAAGAAACTCCTTGGAAGACACTCCTGTTCCAAGGAGCCACTCCCAACCCTGAGATAGGGGTGTTGACCCCAAAGCCCTGGGTGGCCAAAGAGTGACTATGGCTTGCACCTGCTGCACCCTAGTGCGGTGCTGTCACCCTAAGGAGGCCAGGCCCCTTCTTCGAACTTGGACTGTCCCTGGGCCTGTGTCCCCAGCACCACCTCTCCACTCCCACCTCCCTCCCCACCAAAGCTGCTCTCCTGAGCTGTGGCCTTCCCCCTCCCTGTGCTGGGCTCACATTCCCTCCCCTGACCGCTTTGCTTCTTTGCACCTGCCCTTCCCTCACCCACAAAAGTTTAAGGTCAGTGACAAGGGACTCGCTTCTCCATAACAAGAATCCTAGCTCCAGATGACTTAGCATGACCGTGTCCTTGGAGCCACAATGAAGGTACCTCAGTACTCCTAAAATGCTCGACCTAGGATCTTAATTATTTTGCTTTACAAATATATAGACCCCAGTGCCCTGCTGTGAAAATTACAACCATCTGGAAGGCACAATTTCCAAGAATTAATCTAACCCTCCTTGGACACCACTGCTAATTAAAACACGATCCCCACCTTTCCGAGGGAAAGGCAAAGAAGAATTTACATAAAATTTAAAGATCCAACAAGAATTCGGTAATTCTAGAAACAAGGAGAGGCGTGTTCATCTCCTTGCCTTCCCCCATCCCCAGGACACACTGAGGGTCAGGGGATGCAGGCTGGGGTACACACCCTGGACTTTCACCCCAACCCCACTACCCTTTCATTCTAATCCCTGTGATTTCCTCTGCTGGCTATGTCCCAGGCACGAGATAGCACAGCATCTCTGTGACTTCTCTCTCCATCTCATCACAGAGTTCAAGCCCCACTACACAGGTCAGGACTCTTCCCAGAGTTTCTGATGAGGCCTTCGCAATGAACAGATCTGCCTCTAAGCCTCAGTTGATGCACCTTCAAAAATGGGCATAAACCTTGATCTTCAAGACTACACAAAGTGATGTTGCAAAGAGCTTAGCTCCCTCTTCTTGGAGGTTGGGGGAAGGGAAAACTTGGCATCACGCTTTTAGTTTCCTAAAAACCACAAAACCAGGTAGTTTTCCTAATAGAAAAACACCATGGAAACATAGTTTGGGGGGGGGAGGACCTGATGTGTGCACAAGGGCATGAGGTAGAGTGGAAATCGCCTCCCAGGTCCTGCTAGTCCTGCGCTCCGACCAGAGCTTCCCCCAATGTCCTCCAGGGTGTCTGGCATCTCACATTGGGACATGCATTGGAAAATACCTTCTGATGACTCCTGAGCTGCACCTGCTTATAGTGCATGAGAGCCCAACCAAGCCAAGAGTCTTATCTGCATTTTACAGTACAGGAAACTGAGGCTCAGCAGGCCTTCCAACTGTCACAATGGCCTGCCCCTTTCCCCAGGGGGGCTCCCAAAGAGAGGTCTCTAAACACAACCCCCTACTTCCCCTATACCACTCAGGGGCCAGAATCACAGCAGGAAGCCCCCACCTCTGCAAAGGGCCCAAGCCTGGGGCAGAACTGGCCTTTGTGCATTGGTGTGTACACAGCAGACCTGATGAGCTGCACCCCACCCCCCTGCCGCTGCTGCTGAGCCTGGGGAGGGTCTGGGCCCACAGACCCGCTCCAGGGGAGCCGACAGTCTGTTCTCCCCGACTGGCCGCAGCCTGCGATGGGCCAACCCAGACTCCGCTCGGTGCATGACATCATGAGCAGGGAGCCAGGCCAGAATTATGTCAAGTCTTTGGGGAGCAATAGCATAGCAGTTCTCAGAGAGGGAGAAAAGGTGGAGGAGGAGGGGGGAGAGGGAGGGAGAAGACTCCACCCAGCCCAGGTTCACTCCAGAGCCTGCCTGGTCCTCAGCTTCTCTGGCCTGTGAAACCACTTCCCCCTTTCAGGAGCCAGAAGCCTCAGGGGCTCAGCTCCCAGTACCTGCAGGCAACTCAGCATCTCTCTCCTCTCATCAGACCTCTGACCTGCACAGTTCCGGCTCCTGCCCCAGACCACTTGCAGCAACCCAGGCACCAGCAAATGTCACTTTCAAGAACTTTCTTGAAACTTTCTCCACTCTGCTAAAAATTACTTCAAAGAAAATCTATCCTCCTTTCCCACCTCTGCAGTCCCCCTGGGTCAGCCCAGCCCCGGCCTCCTCCTCTGACACAACTTCACACATTCCTGCCTCGGGGCCTTCCCACTTGCTACTTCCCTCTGTCCAGAACTTTCTGTGGTAGCTCCCTCATGCCTAGGTTGCCACACAAATGCCACCTCCTCCAGGCCGTCTCTCATGATCGATCACACTGCACTGCCCTTCCCTATGCCCCTTTCTCAACAACAACCAAGGGCTCACCTGCTGGCTGTCTGCCTCGCACAAGGCAAAAGAGTTCCCTGGGATGAGAATTTATCTGACTGACTCACTGGGCCGATGCCCAGCCCTACTAAATGACCAGTAAGTCAGTTTTAGTGCACAAGAAATGTTTGGTTAAGACAGCACTTTGGGTGCTCTCATGCCATACTGGGATCTCCACTCCTAATTCTGGCTTCCTGGTGACAGCTCAAGTGCTTGGGCCCCTGACATCTGTATGGAGATCTGGACAGAGTTCCCAGCTCCTGCCTTCAGCCTGGCTCAACCCCAACTTGTTGCAGCTGTGTGGGGAGTGAACCAGCAGATAAGACATTTCTCTCTCTCTCTCTCTAACACACACACACACACACACACACACACACACACACACACACACACACTTGCTAGAGAAAGCCAGGGTTAAGACAGGTACCACCCTCAAAGCTTTTGACACGCCTGACCCCTGTCATCACTCATATCACCTGTCACAGTCCTGGGCTCACACCCCTCCCTGCACCCCTGGTCTCAGTTGCAGACAGCCCTAACTGGGCTGGAACTAGGTGACCACTAAGGCTTCCTGTTAGTAAGTGTCAGTGGCAACCCACACACATGCAGAGCTTACAACATGCTGGCCACCGCTCCTGCTGCCATCCATCATTCAAGCTTCCCAGTAATCCTGTGAGCTTCCGGTTCTCATTGGGATCCCACAGTCACACAGTGATGGAACTAAAGTTCAAATCCTGGCAAGCCGAGCCAAGCATCCCTACCCTGGGGAAGTACATGGATGCCAGTTACTGGGGCAGGGCATCTTCCCCTTGGCACCTTTGCAGGAAGAAGCCTGAGTGTAGACAGCCATAAAATGGGGGCCTATCCCACACCCAGCTGTACTTCTAAAAGCCAGTGTGGGCAGGGTGCCATGGAAGACACTTAAAGAGTCCATACTGAGATGGAGAAGTTCCCAGGAGTGTCCAGAGCTGGCTCCAGCCACAGGGAAGGAGGCAGGGAAAGCTGGAGATCTGGTCCAGAAGAACCAGGGGGGCAGTGAGCCCTCAATTGGCAAGCCACCCTGAGACAAGAGCCCACAGGGCCGGTCCCCCCAACCCTGCCCTGCCCTGTCCCACCAGTCCCAGCACCCAGTGCCTGCTCACGGCTGCAGGCCAGCAGCGAAGCAAGCACCAAGGGCTCACTCCCTTCTTCAGCATCGGGGCTATGGAATCTCCTGTAGTCTCTCCCTGCCCACGCCCCTAGAATGTCTGTAATAAAAGATCAAAATTACTTTAGAATTTGGCATTGTGATATAGTGGGTAAGCTGCCTCCTTTTCTGTTAGCATCCCATAAGAGAGCCGGTTCAAGTCCCAGCTGCTCCACTTCTGACCCAGCTCCCTCCCAATGCACCTGGGAAAGTAGCAGAAGATGGCTCAAGTGCTTAGGCTCCTGCACTCACATGGGAGACCTAGAAGAAGCTCCTGGCTCCTGGTCTTTGCTTTGTGCAGCCTTGGCCATTGTGGCCACCTAGGAAGTAAATCAGCAGAAAGAAGTTTCTCTCTCTCTCTCTAACTCTCTTTCAAATAAATAAATCTTTTTTTTCAAAAATCCACTATTTAAGAAGTTAGTAATAAAAACAAATATTCCCTTGACCCAAAATAACGGCCCTGCGTTTTAAGAGTCCTGACAGCATGGTCTGGCTCATCAGGTGCTCCCAGCAACCCTATGAGGGTTGGAAGAGTGATGCTATCCTAACAGATGAAAAGCGTGAGACTTCCATCTGCGTAGCTTGGTGACACAGCTTGCCAGAGAGCATGGGTCTCAAAGAGCGGAAACTATAGGCAGCCAGAGGTCTGTGGAGAGAAACATCACCAAGCCAACAGGACTCAAAGGGAGGAACCCAGGAGGACCAAGCTGGACAGAGCTTGGGGGCCAGCGATATGCTAGGCAGAGCGGGCGCCCACCTTGAGCCCTGTGCGGGCTGTGCAAGGCGGCCAGCAGGCCCCCACCATGCCAGTGCTGACAGAGCTCTCCATGCACTGGCCTCCAGGGAGGGAATGTCCTGGCCACAAAAGGCACCTGGAGGTCACAGCACATCCGTCCTGCCTCCCTCCCTTCAGAAGGTGGCCAAGGCGGGGAGAGAAAAGGAGTAGGGCGGGGGAGGGGAGATGTGGTCTCGCAGAGCCACATCTCTGCTCCCCAGTGGCCATACTTGCCTTTCTCTTAAAGTTCCCCCAAGGAGATACGCTAGCTACATAGGAAACGAGACAGGAAGAGGGGTAATCAATCGTATCGATCAGCAGCGATCTTTCATCCTCACTGGGGCTCTCACATAGCCACTTCAGCCCTGGGGTCAGTGAAGCGTGGGTGGCCCTGCTCCTCACAGGGGACAAAATTTGTGGGCTCAGCAGGCAGGCAGGCAGGCAGGCAGGCAGGCAGGCAGGGGGCCATGATATGTACACGTCTGTGCTGGCCTGCGGGTCACCCTTGTCGTCACAGCACAGTACGTGCAGGCAGGGGACAGCAAGGATCGCCTACGTACCACTGCATGCTGTGCCGAGTAACCAAGGGGAGCATGTCAGGTGTACACACGCACACGCACACACACACACACACGCACACACAGGGCCCCAGACCATTGTTGGCTCTAGCACACAGCAGCACCTCCATGCAAGACAAAGCCTCCATCTGTGAGGACAGGGTAGGCACGGAAGCAAGCCTGGCAGAGGACTGGGACACAGACTCTCTGAGAATGGGCAGAGCAGAAGCCTGCATACGCACATAGAGGGGGAACAAAGCAGGAAAGACATCCAGGAGGACAGCATCTCCTAGCACGTGAGCAGCTGAGTGACTGGGTACCACCAGGACAAAAGGCAGGACAAGGTCATAGTGTCTGGAGCTGGCAACAACGGCCCCTGTCGGCTGACCCAAGGACCGGCCTTCAATTGTAAGGGTAGTGGTGTGACATATCCTATGTTTCCACAGAATGGACCATGGGGGCGGGGAGGGGAATGACTCAGAAGGGACAGGGGTCCCCTGTGACCTCTGCCACACAAGCAGTACCCCAGTGAGGACCAGAATGAGGACATTGGGAATCCCTTTTCGCCCTTTGCACCAGACCATCAGAAACCCTGAAAAACCCCACAGTTACCCCCATAGCCATGCAACGTGGCCTCCAATGACACACATTTTACTCATGTCTAAGGAGACCTTATCCTGAACATAATAAGGTCCATGGTCAGAAGCAAGGTCACTGCCTTTCATAGAACTCCTGGTCTGAGCAGCCAAGGACGGCAACAGTTTCCCATATCAGAGCACAGATTCGGGTCCTGGCTGCTCTGCTTCTTCTCAAGCTCCCTGCTACTGTGCCTGGGAAACAGCAGAAGATGGCCAAGTGCTTGGGTTCTAGCAAATGGAAGATCTCTCTCTCTCTCTCTCTCTCTCTCTCTCTCTCTCTCTCTCCTCTTTCAAATAAATAAACAAATCTTAAAGAACCAATTACCAAGACTTGAATTTTGTCAGATTCTACCAGCATCCATAGTCTCGGCCCTGGAACCCCACCTCCCCAGCTAGCACAACGCCCCAACCTGGCCCCAAACCCTCCCCTTCTGAGTCCTGCCCTGCTTCCTGGCAGCCTGGCTTCCCACAGCCAGAAAGTAAGGATGTGGGCATCAACCTCAGGCTTAGGGGCATCAACCTTGGATGCAAAGGGTGCCTTCTGATCCTCACTCAAGCCCCAAGCTGCAGACTCCTGCCCTAGACTCTTCAGAGTCCCGCCTCCTGGCCCAGCACTGTTGGCTGGTCCTAGAGCAAGTAGGGGCAGCTGATGGAAACCTCCCCATTGGCCCCTTACCTGCCAGACACCCCAATCTAAGCTCCCCCAGATTTTTGGCTAGCTGTCACAATCTCCAGCCTGGAGCCCAGGCCTGGAACAGCTCAGCCTCATGGTTCCCATGGTGCACAGGGAGACCTTTTCGCAGAACACCAAGGTCAGGAGCCCCAGGAACACCCTGCACCTGCCACCAAAGGGCCACCCAGCTCAGCCAGGCCAAGAGGCCCTGTGCCTCGAGCCTGCCCGTCCAACAAAGACCTCATTTTCTCTAACCGCCTCTCTGAGATGCCAGACACCAGGGCTCTGCAGGGATCCTGTGCTGCCTGACGTTCTGAGACCACAGCTTATAAAAGGACACCATTCTAACTCCATGAACATTACACATCTAGGACTACACAGCTTTCAGCCAGAACCAGCCCCAAGAGAGGATGGGGGAGCTGGTCCCTGAGGTTCTCCAGGTGGCCCCTCCCCGAGGGCAAGGCAGGTCCCCCCACCGCATCTTCCTCTTGCCCCAAGTGGCCACATAAATCACCCTCCCAATAATATTTGTATTGATCATCTAGATTGGAAGCCTCAGTTGGTTCCATTGTCTCACTTCCTCTCCCAGGGCTCACAGATGGGGTCCCTTGGCCTCATCTGCGTTTCTAATGCGCCATTTAAATGGAGCAGCCCTAAGGCCTTCACGTTGCTCTGGGTGTGCAGCGCTGAGGAACATGTTCCTTAAAAGAGTGTGATGACTTGCCAGCAGGTGTGGCACTAGACAGGCTAGCTCCCCCACACCTGCACCCTCCCAGTGGGGGGCCATCCTACACCCTGAATCCACATCAGCATTTTGTCCAGTGCCCTCGCTAACTCAGGAGCACACTCAGTTCTAAGAAGTCAGGCTCTTAGTGCCAGCCTTATGCTCCATGGATGAGAACCTCAGGCCCAGAGATGGCAGAGGGCTTGTCTGAGGTCACACAGCAGCCAAGATGCCCTGAGCTCCCAGCTCAGCAGAGGCAATGAGAGGAGGCCTGCTACGTCCATCCATCCCTCCCTATGCAAAGCCTTCCCCAGCTCCTGCCTCCCAGCTCTGGTTGGGGACAGATGGTTCAGACTGGAGTGTAACTTCCCCCTCCCCCACCTATCCCTCCCCACCCTCGATCATCTCCTAGCCTGGAGGGGCCAGCAAGAGCTCCAGGGAACCCCCAACAGGGCAGCTTCTCCCACTGCGGCCAGCCAGCTGCCCCTTCCCTGGCAGCAAGCGGACAGCAGAGCCCAGCGACAGTCAGCACCTAGGGCAGGCAGCCAGGGCACTGTGGCTGCAGAGGAAACCAGTGGAGAGCCTGGGAGAGGTGGGGAGGAGAGAAACTGATCAGTGAAGGAGCTGGGGGGGGGGTCAGAGTCAAAACAAAGAGGGGACAGGGTAAAGACAGAACAGGGAAGGGAAGCAGGGAGAGCAGAAGGGAGGGGAATGGCGGCCAGGAAGAGTGATGGGCAGGAAGCAGGGCAGGAGGCAGCTGGCCTGGAGGTGCGGGAGGCCAGAACGTGGCCCAGCCCTGCCTGGCCCCTGCGATGATGCAGCTGCCATGCTCAGGCCCTACCATGAGGTCAGTCCCGCCCTGGGGCGGAGGGAAAATAAATGGTGTCTAGAATAAAAGAGCCATGCAATTATTTGTCTTGTTGTCACACATCCTGAAGGCGGTAGGCAGGGGCTTACGGACAGGATCACACCAGGAGTGCCAAGGCCTCGTCAAAGACTAGCAGGCCTGCTGCCACCACCATCACCACTGCTGCCACTGGGGCCTGGGCCACCCACAGCCCCACCCAACTCCAGGCCCCTCACTGGTACCTGAGAAGCCAGGCCTGGGCCAGTGTAGGTGCCTTCCTGGCCAGTGGTGGGAACAGAGCAGCCTGGGTACTTCCTGCCTGGTGATTTTAAAGCTGTTGCTTGCATGCTGAGTATTTGTTCAGCTTCTGTCGTGGCCACTGCTTCCCCTTCACCCCACCCCCAGCCCAGCTCTGGGAAGCTGCAGTCCTGTTCCACTTGCTGCTGAGGGGCCTTGGAGACATGGAAGGAGCTAAGGTGCCTTGCTTCTCCCAGCTTCCCTGCAGAGGCAACCCAGGGGTGCAGATAAGAATACCCAGGCAGCCCAGAGGAGGGCCAGGCAGTTTTTCAGGTCAAGGGCAGGCCAAGGGGACCACAGGGTTGTGAGTGTTTGTGTCTGGCAGGTCACAAGCTTCGGCTTGTCACACAGGCATTCACAGCAAGCAGCACACACACACACACCGGCCGGGGCAATGTGCACCTGCCAGCAGCATCATCCACAAAGCACAACCCAGAAGCTCCCACCTTTGGAAATGTCTGAAGTTGGAGCTGGTGGAGCACAGGGAGTGGCCACCAGGATTAAGGCATCCTTTGGGGAGCCCTAATAGACGCCTGCCTTATAGATAGGCATGCAGCAATGAGACCACTTCCTAGAAGGCACTCCCAATGGGCCATCCCAGGCTTCACCATCACAGCTTCAAATCAAGGAAACTGAGGTCTGAGTTCGCACAGCCAGGGGCCCAGCTGGGCTGGGATTTGTACCTGAGGTCCCTGAGGCCCTGGGGCAAGAGGAGGGGTTGGCACATACCATACTTGTCCCCGTCCTCGCCGCGGGCGCTGATCCTGCGGCCCAGGACCTGGATGTGTTTCCCGCTGGTCCGGCTGTAGAGCTGGTACAGCCGCAGCTGCTTACGGCTCACATCGTCCCGAGCCCGCGTCTGGTTCTCCACGTGGATGCGGAAGTCCACGTTCTCCTCGGCCGCCAGTACCTGGGCAAGGGAAAGGAGCCACGGTGAGCCATGCTGGAATGCGTCAGGCCCTGTGCTGTGAGCAATGAACCAGCCACGTTCATAACAGAGAGAGAGCAGGAGGGCCTCTGGGGCCAGGCCTCAGCCCACACTCACGGGACCTTGGACGCCAGCGATGTTCCGCCTCGGATTCACTCCCAGCAAAGCAAGAACATTGGTGGCACCAGTGCAAAGACACGCACGCACTGAGGCTCCTGGGGAAGTGTGGGGGGAGGGGGGAAGTGGGGTTGGAGGGTCTCCTAGGGAATGTCCACTGTGACTTGTCCCTTGCTAGCCTCCAAGGGGTCCTTGTGCTCACCACTGTCACCAGGCACCCCCTGAGGCCCTCGGGGAGAAGCCCTCGCCTTATATCTCCCACCTGTCCCCAGGAGGTCTAGTGTATTTCTGTCACATCCTCCAGGAAGCCTTCTCTGGTTTCACCAACCCCTATCTGTCCATCATTCCGTGCCCCGGTGGCACCCTCCTCCACACGCTCTGGCCTACCCGCACTGCCAGCCGACTGTTTCTCTACCCCCTTCCTTCTTTCCTTTTCCTTCCTTCCTTCCAATATTTGAGATTTATTTATTTATTTGAAAGTTTGAAAGGGATGGAGAGAGAGAGAGAGAGAGAAATCTATCCATCCACAGGTTCACTGTCCCAAATACCCACAGCAGGACCAGGCTAAAGTCAGACTCCCAGGGCCCCATCCAGATCCCCCCCACAGCAGGAACCCACCCACACTTGAGCTACCACCCGCCACTCCAGAGGCACATCAGCAGGAAACTGGATGGGATGCATGAAGAATAAGGTGGTCAGATGGGACAAAGACAGGCATCCCAAGAAAGAGCCTAACCTGATACCCAGGAATGCCCATTTCTGTCTCACCACCCTTCGCTCTCCTCACCCCAGCTCTCCCTCCAGGGCCTTCCTCTTTCTGAGGCAACCACTACCTCTCGCACTCTTCACACTTCAACCAAGCTTCGTGTTCCTTCCTCACATTTGTGATCCTGACATCTACTCAACAGCCTGCAGTGTACTCTACTGTCTCCGTGTCTCTCTCTTCCCTTCTCTCTCTCTCTCTCTGGGCTGCTGATGTCCCCCAGTAACTGACAGGGCAGAAATACAAACACCTGTTGAAAGAATGGATGCTGAAAAACCCCTGGAATCCAGTCACCCCATCCTACGTCCTGCGGATGGCGTGCCACCCACCCCATCTGGGAATCACAGAGCTGAGCAGTTCCCAAAGCCTGGCTGGGAACAGCATTCTGACTCTGTCTCAGACCAGCTCTCTGTGGCACCTTGCTGGACACACAACACCAGCATATGGCCCTGCCCAGCCCGTAACTGAGCTTCTGGGACCCTGGCTGCCTGGGTTATTTGTCTCACCCCTCAACTATGGGCTCCCAAGGTCAAGGGTGGCCACATCTCTGTTCCCAGGCTCACCTGCACCTGTCCTCCCACCTGGACCTGGGGCCCACAGGCATTTCAGGAGGTCCAGAACCTTCATCCTTCGCAAGCTAGAAGCATCATTCTGTTCCTCAGGCGAGGCGGCTGAGGCTCCACTTCTGAATGAACAAGGTCATGGCAAGGTAAGCCCTCACCCCAGCATTTCCCATCTATATGGGGTTGTACCATCTTGCAGAGTTCTTGCCACCATCCCCAAACACACATATAAAGCCGTGTGCTAACAGGAGCCTGCCAGCCATAGTGATCACAGTCTGGATTTGACCCCTGGCACCCACCTGGCTTCCCTTGGGACTCTCAAGGTCTATACCTGCTGGCTATTTGTCCTGCACAGCCCAGACCCCTGGTCTCCCTCCAACCGTCCCGAGATAACTTCTGGAGTGGCTTGGCGCCAGCCCCTCCCCCAAGGCCAGGCCTCCAGCCTCCCTCTCTGTCCTCCAACTCTCCTCCTGCTCACAGCAGACCTTATCGACCAGAGGTCAAACCAATCTCCTCCCTTCTGGGGCCCCAAGGGGCATGCTCCTGCCCCAGAAACTGCCCTTCCATTAATGATTTTCTCCCTGGCCCACTGGACACAGGCAGCGGGGTAATGTGGGGTCGGAAGGAGCTATCGAGGGGGTCCTTCCTTCCCTAGGATGTGGACAGCATGACCCATCTTGCCACCTTCCTAACATTTCAGCCACCTTCTAGGACCAGACCAGCTCCTCAGGGAGTGGCCTCCACTGGACACAGAGGTGGCAAGAAGTAGCCCCGGGTCAGAACCAGACCTCTAAGCCACGCCAGCCCTTTCTCTGCACAGCCTGGAGCAGCCTGCCATCACCAGCTTGCAGGGGCCTTCTCTGGAAGCCTTGGCTGGCCCCATCTCCCAGTACACATCCGATGGCAGTTGCTGATCGTCTGCAGACTCCAGCTTGTCCTGTCCATCTCTTTACCCCTGCCAAAGAGGCGATTAGCAGGTGTGTGCCAAATGGCAGTGGCTAAGAATGAAAAGTGAGGGACTCCCGGAAGCCGTCATGAGCCTCAGACCTCACTGCACCCCCAAGCAGAACGTCCCGTGGAGGCATCCTGAAGCTCCTGACTACTGAGCTGTCCTCTAGCTGCCCCCCTCTAAGGCACCTCCTCTAGTGCCCCATACAGCCTCATGAGTGAGCCCATTTCACAGATAAGATCCGTGAGGCCACAGAACTGCAGCAGATGCCGGTTGAGTACAAGGGTCCGCTGCTAGAACCCACTGTCCCTCCTTGCCTGCTAGCCAAGAAGCAAGCAAATAACTCAGTCTTTGTGCTGGAGCCAGCGGGCGAGGAGATTGTTTTCAAGGGCTTTCCCTCTGTCTGCCTGCCTAACATCCTGCAGGTGCACGATGATTGAAGTGCTGAAAAGCCACAGTGAGATTAAAAAAAAAAAATTGAATGCTGCAGCTCTGAATGGCGAGGCGAGAAGGCTGGTACACAAGGGACATGTCCTTCTCCAGAGGGAAGATGTCTTCCCACCTCCTCCCTGCACCCTACCACCAGATCTGAAGGCTTCCTGTTTTCATCAGAGCATCTTTTCCCACAGCAGGGTGACCCGAGACTCCAACCAGCCTCTTCCTGCCCCCACCCCAAGAGTCTGCCTCTGCTGTAAAAATTCACTCCCCATTCCAGGAGCTACCCAGATGCCACCTGGGCACCAGATGCCCAGGTCTCTGGGCATGGGACCCAGAGACGGCGCCCAGGGAGACAGAGCCCGGCCACCGTCTGCCCGCAGCCTCACTGTCAGCACTCTTCCTGCATGATGCAAGCTGCCCTAGCTCCCCCGCCCACAGCATGGCATTTCTAGGACCTAACTCCACCTAACTCCCAGTCTTCTATCGGGCACTTTGGTGGAAACCTGCTGTAGGCTACGAAAAGTCCACCAGAGTCCACCACCGCCGGGCCCTTCCCTGGGGCATCGCACAGCCCCCAGCGTTCCACAGAGCCTGAAGACGCTGCCCAGGCTGCACAGACCTACCGGCAGCTCTGAGAAGCAGGTGCAGAGGCCTCCTCCTGCTTGCTCAGCCACTCCTGCACCTCCCCCAGAGATGCGGCACACCACACCTCAGCCACATGCACACAGCCCATATGGTAGCTCACCATATGACCTGGCATGCCGCTCGGCTCCATCTCTAATCACTGACTCACTGCATTTCTTTAAACCTCAGTCTTCTCAGCAGCAAAATGGGATTGTTTAGAACACTGATTTCAGAGAAGGACTGGCACACGGTATCCCATGCAGGTACCGGTTCAAGTCCCCACTGCTCCACTTCCAATCCAGCTCCCTGCATATGGCTTGGGAAGGCAACAAAGAATGTCTCAAGTCCTTGGGTGCCTGCACCCACATGGGAGACCCAGAAGAAGCTTCTGGCTCCTAGCTTCAGATCAGCTTAGCTCTAGCCATTGCAGCATCTGGGGAGCAACCCAATGCAGGAAAGATCTTTTCTCTCCTTCTCTCTCCTTCTCTCTGCAAATTTGCCTTTCAAACAAAAAGAACTAAATATTTTTTAAGAAAAGAACATTTCTGGACCCAGTGCGGTAGCCTTGCATGCACCAGAATCCCATATGGGCATTAGTTCTAATCCCGGCAGCCCCACTTCCCATCCAGCTCCCTGCTTGTGGCCTGGGAAAGCAGTCGAGGATGGCCCAAAGCCTTGGGACCCTGCATCCATGTGGGAGACCCAGAGGAGGCTCCAGGCTCCTGGCTTCGGATTGGCTCAGCTCCAGCCATTGCGGTCGCTTGGGGAGTGAATCAGTGGATGGAAGATCTTCCTCTCTGTCTCTCTTTCTCTCAGTATATCTGACTTTCGAATAAAAATAAATAATTTTTTTAAAAAAGGTACTGAATATTATTTTTAAAAATTTCTTAAAAGAAAGGAACATTTATTTCAGAGAAAAGATGCTATGGGCAACAATACCCACTCCTTTCTTTTTTTCTTTCTTTCTTTTTTTTCCCTTTTTTGCTAGATGTTGCTTTATTTATTAAATACCCACTGTTGTGGTGCTTTGTGCTATGAATACTTTTAGAATCCCCCACAGCAATCCTACCTACAAGTTGATGTGATTTTTATCCCCATTTCACAGTTAGGGAAACTGAGGCTCAAAGAAGTAAAAACACATGCCTTAAGTCACAGAAGTGGTAGGAGGAGGAATAAAGACTAAAATCCAAGGCTGGATGTTGAGCACGGCAGTGAGGGCATCATCTGGGAAACCCGCACCTCACATCAGAGAGCTCAGCCGCAGGCCTTACTTTGCAGCCAGCATCTGCTAATGAGCACCTTGGGCGGCAGCAGGGATGGCACAAACCCTGGGGCCCCTGCCACTCACGCGGGAGACCCAGATGGAGTGCCTGGCTCCTAACTGCGGTGCGGCCCAGCCATGTGGGGACTGAATCAGTGCATGGAAATCTCTGACATGGTCTGTCTCTCTCTCCAATCTCTGCTTTTCAAATAAAAGGAAAAAGAAACTAACTTCAAAATCTATGCTTTAGGGTCCGGCGTGGTGGTG